GTCCAAGGCCACTAAAATTCAGGGCACTAGCTATAGCTGCGCTAGCTTGCTTGTCCACTGGAGATCAGCGTCAGCTTGCAATCTTTGAAAGCTGTTGGGAGAGCAGCGTTAGCTGCAAGATCATCGAGGCCTCTCTTGAGGCCCATCAGGATGTCTGAAATTAGAATTTGCCTTGTCGTCTGAAGGCTCTGAGTTCTGAATGTAAAGATGAAGGGACTTGGAGCCAGCTGAGTCTTTTTACATGAAAGAAGAGAGGCAGCGCCAGGGTCTGCCCGGACCCGAGGCATTGTGGGGACCCGTTTAATATCACTTTTCCGCCGGGTCCCCGAGGCCTTGTAATCTTGCAAGTACCCCATGAGTGAGGCTTCGGGAGGATTCAGAAGCAAGTGAGGCTTCGGGAGGCTTTGCAATGTTGCAAACATGTTTGTGAAAGTGGCCCGGCCAGTTTGCGCCAAAGCTTGCGCGACCCCAAATTTGGCGTTGAAAAGCCCAAGCAATTCTGGCTTCGCTTGAGTGGGCCTCTCCGGCCTCTCCTGTACGACGTAGAGCAATGTGAGACGTCCGGTGCATCGGCATCGAGCCGAAACAGTGACGGGCACACAATGGCAAACCACCATCTTTTTTGACTTGTCTGTTTGGGTTTTGTGCATTGCCCGCGTGGCCACTCAACAAGTTGATGTTCTACGTGGGGGGTGTGCAAGAGTATAAACTTCACCCACTTCCCACATGTACCATATGCAAGGTGAGTGTGGTCATTGATTGCTGTGGCTCAAATTTCTCCTTTAACTTACGTAGGCAATGGAACATGTATGTCACATACAGCTATGCCATAGTTACACTGGCGGCAAGTGGATTGAGCAGCGTGAGACCCGCTTCCAGAGAAAACATTGTGGAGTGCGCGGGTTTGCACAAGCTGTGACTTATTGTGAATACATCTTGCCCAGCCACCCTTTTACCTATATGGCTTCCATATAAGGGTTCCCCAAAATTCAGTATGTGTTTTTTTACAGAATCTGATTTCTTTCAATGTTTTTTCTGGACTCCATGGTTTTCCAAATTCGCAAATTTTCCATACAGTTTGATCAGCTTTCAATATGCTTTTGTAAAAGGTTAATGCCAATGCATGTCAATTAGGACCACAGGTTCTACTACCTTCGTTCTCAATCGCATAGGAAGAAAATTTCGTATCTCTAGAAGGCCGTAAGCTTCACTGGAGCAGGATTTCACGTCGGTTTGAGATGCACGTGTCCATTGAAGAGTATGATGTGTGCAAAGCTCAGAGCCAGGTCTAAATCTGCGAATTTGGAACCTGCAGGAACAGCGCCCGTGTATGCATGTGAATACATGTGTGCTGGTCATTCCAATTATGTTACTCAAAGGTCAGAAGTTCTGACCCTCATCCTCTGCCTGTGCAGGTTTTTCAACATTGCCCCTATAGAATCTTCACTATGGACTGCCAGGGTCCTGCTGTAAGTCCTATATGTTTGTGGGGCCTGGCAGGCCACGTTTTGGAAAAGTCTTATTTGGGATCTTTAATTGGTGGCTTTCAGTGCTTCTCTCCCGAAACACCAACTTTATCAATCTCCTCAACCTTGTGGGTCATGGATACCTTGCAAGCTGTAACTCCAGCCAAGAGCTTTTTCCCACAAGCAAGCATTCAAGCAGAAGCAGACGTATTGTTAATGGAGGATATCCGACAACACTCTACGTTTTTTATGTCTAAGGGTCTAAACTGCCTAAAGGATTCCCCACATCAACAGTACCAAATCTTCCGCAAAATTCTGCCGCAGTTTGTAACCGTCAACGAAATTTGGGCCATGGGATGCGCGGTATCCACCACATGTGCAAGGGCCCCAGGAAAGTTGCGACACATTAAATGCGAAAGTGAATAGGACTCGAGGGCCAAGAGTTCGAGCGTTTACATTTGGGTTTTTATAGAAATCTATTATTGTAGGCCTCCTTATTAGCGTTGATATGTTTGTTTGCACGGAGTTGGTGCTTCAGGGTTTGAGCTCGAGGGTATAAGACATTGTGTGTTGCTTTCCACGATCATACCACGCCCTTTTCCATTGTCTGGTGAAGGAGGGGGAGTAAGGCAGCAGATCCTTGTAATTATCCTCATGTAATATCGGTCCTTGTAAGACGGATCCGATTCTTGGGGGGAGAGGGGGATTTCCACGTTGGAGGAGCATGTGCCCAGTGTTGCTGAATTTCAGCCCTGCGCAGTCCTCTCGAGTCATACACAAAGTTCTTTTTTTGCCCACACATTACTTGTTGGAGGTTCGCCTGACCTGGTAACGTCTTGAACAAAGGAAACCAACCTTACTTATGCTCGCCCTAGCTGGGCTGATTTACGTGCCCCAGTTCTGGACAATGACTATGTCCCATGAACTTCGCAATTGCCGCATCACAGAGGATGTCAAACAGACAAGTTGATCCCCTAGAAAATGTGCTTTGAGACCAAGGTACAAGTTTGTATGTCCGTGCTGAGAACCGAAAGGGCCCAATCCCCTACTAAACATATTCCTACAGCTTGTACTAGAATCCGGCGTACCACAATCTGAATGCCTATCTTTTGTGGAACTTGGGCCCTCTGAGAAAGAGGGTAGTCCCCGGGTGAAACCCCACATGAGCAGTATTTTATTTGGGGTCACTCTGGTACGCAATGTAGAATAGAATTATATCCTCCTTCTGGGTAAAGTCTTTAATGCTCAACGTACATTGGGGATCTTTCCGCGGTGGTGCTGTGGGAGCCATCCCGGCTCCATCATTCTCTCATAACACGATGACAAAAAGAGGTCGTTCAAAATCATGGGGGATGTATTGAGATAATGGAAAAGAAAATGGAAACTACTATATTATAATAGGGTATATATTGGGTTTATAGGGGTTATAGGGTACCCCCTTTTTGGGGTACCCTTTATGTGGAAGCCGTCTTAAAATGGGGCCCAAAAGGGGAACAGAATTTTGATATCCTCTATACCGTTGGTGGGGGAAATCTTGCACCGCTTAGGATACCCCTATTGTCAGAAATCCAGCCAGGGTGGCTGCTTCGACCTGTCCGGGCCTGAGATGAACAAGATGGGACTTGATTTAAAAAGGTCTTGCTAAAGGGGTTGTATAGAGGTTAAATGGGCAGACACTTTTTAGGGTTCCTGTCGCGCTCAAAGGGAAAATGTACGGGAATTTATCTCTCTATTCAGCTTTTTGAGACCAGGCATTTTGATCAACTGCCAAAGGCTCCAGCTGGGCTATCATATTTAGGAAACCTTTCTTTTAGTGTATATGGATATAACAACGGTATTTTTTAAGTCACCGAACAGCAACCCAACCAGCTCTTCCAAGTGGAGGTTTCCTGGAAAAGAACGGTGCCCGTCGTCATTTGTGACAATTATTTTTTCACAAGAACCGAAGCCAAAACCATCGCGCATCTGCACATGTGCAAGACATGCTGCTAAACATGTGTGCGGATGCGCGTTAACGTGTGTATTAGTTGGAGTTGGGGTTTCAGGCGCATCATGTCAATTCTGAACAGATGCCCCACTGTAAAGGAGGAAGAAGCCAAATTGCAACTGATTTTCGACCTTGCGCATTTGATGCCTTTAAGGTTTGGGCTTTAGGTTGTGGGCATTAGGGAACCCAACTCTAAGCCCCAATCAGGTTTAGTTGAACCCTCAACGACCTCAAACTCAAAAGCATTTTCTTGAAATTCCAGGTTTACCCAGCGTCCAAGGCTGAAGCGCAATGAGGACTCAGCGAATTTGCTTCGGAATCCCAAACAGAGCTACAACGCTTTCGGAGTGTACGTTCGGTGTAGTTGTGTAGCCATGCGGTTTCAGGGGGTGTGCTGATGTGCAGGTTTGGGCTCACGCTGTCAGCGTTTTTCGTTCAATTTTTCATGTCAGGCTTAAAGGGCAGGACAGATACTTATTGGAATCTGATTGGCACTGGCGTGCGTTGTGTAAGGAGCGGCGGAAGAGGGCTTGCATGCAGCACTGAATTTCCAGGAAGATTCTTCTGCAGGTCGTGAGGGTGCCTTAAGTTTGATGCCTCACTCCTGGCATTGTTCGCCTGGGACTTGGTCTTTCTTTCCTTTCGTGTTTGCCAAGTCTGTAGGTTTGTTTACGGCAAGGACACATGGGGCCCTCAGAAGATGTATCCTTAACAAGTCAGCCTTTCAGAGTAAAAGAAACCCCCGTATTGCCACTTGCCAAAGCCAGCAAGAGCAGCCGCAAGTTCTGGGTATTTTGAGTGAGATCGTTGGTCACTTAGAGGGGCCATGGTACTGACAGTACCCAAATTAGAAGAAGCGGACGTTCGCTGCAGAGCTTGGGGTAGCTTTACAATAATGGTAAAAATAGGTAATAGTAATAAAATCATAGTAACTCCAAATTGGGGGCCTTTCAGAAGGACTTTTGGATCCTTTCAGGCTATATTTTTATGATGAGCATCCCTCGCGGGCTGATGTTGCAGACAGGAACTGGGCCCGGCGAATGCATCTTCAGAGGCCAACTGTGCCCGGCTAGGTTTGCTTGGGATGGGAAGGGTATGAAACATAATTATCCGCAACATCACTTCCAACCTTAGTTGAATCAATGGAGTCTAATCCAGAAGACGTGCCTCCTTGAAGTCCAATACCAAGGTTTGGAGTAGAGTGGCACATTACCAAGCTTGGACCCAACCTTCTGTTGCTTGCTGCGCCGCTGCGACTTCTAAAAGCTTATGCTACAGTAGATCTTCTCACTGCTCTTCCCCAAACCCTAAGCCCTAGACTCACAGCTGTCAGAATTTGCAGGATGTCCAGGCCCGGGCTGTTTGAAGTTTCATTGGACTCAGTAACTACTTACAGTCGGGCTATCTGCCTGGCTGGCCTTCTATAGGTCAGCCCGATTATAAGTAGGGCTACATCCCCAGTAATACGTAGTGACTACCTTCCATGCACCTCTAGGAGGTACCCATGTAACTGGTGGTTAACCCTGTTGCGTATTGTTGGGTGCCAGGTCAGCTGGTCTGACCGGGAGACTTTATTCCTGACGCTGCAAGAGCCTCCTGCCAACGAGGATCCTATCGGTGAGACGTTTCACGGCCGAAATTGCGAGCAACCCGGACCGCGCGACTGCTATATATCCTTCCCAGGAAAGTATGCGGCTGGATGGGATGCTTTGACCAACAAGCACCGATTCACAGAAGATGCTGTAGCCTGCGTTTTCCTTACCAAGCGGGAAGAGGGCCCAGGCCTCAGGCTCTAGACTTCTTTTTTCAGGCCCGCCCAGATTCCGAACTATGGACAGAGATTGTTTCAGTGCAGCCTTTGAGAACGTGAATGTTTGCATGCTGACCAGCACTCCACTAGGCTTTGCATGCATCTATCAGCAGTATTTGCAAGAAGAGTGCTGCTAGGAGCTGTGGAATGTGTGCGAGAGAAGAGAGAGTGACTACGACGGTAGGTGAGTGAGCGCGTGAGTGATTGAGTGAGGGGTCCAAGCTAATGGGGAGCGTCGGACCAAATGGACCCCACCCTTGGCATTGTGGGCTTGAAGCTGAGAAGACGCGTTGTATGAGTTCCAATCAGATCTGCAGGGAAAGGACATTGTTTGGGCCATCCCTGGGCATCATGCGGCATCCTAGTTTCAGACTGTGAGGATGACATGTAAGAGTAGTCTGCAGTTGGAGGGTTCAAAGACCAGCGCGGTACTGTTCGTACATGTTCCTACAGAAGACTAAGCCTGACTAAGCCTGGGAAGCGGTGTTTTTGAGCCACGTCGCACATCTTTCCCAAGGTTACGGCCGCCACGATCCTCCCGATCCTCCAAATGGAGATGCCTGCTGGTGTCACAAGATTTACGGGGAGCCGAAGCCATGGGGATGTGGTTGGTACACTGCATGGTTGAAGAATGTCCGGCAAGCTATGGCAAACGGCCAGCGCCTCAAGGTAGTCTTCTTTCCTGGCCAGATTGGGGACGGCAAGGTCAGCATGGACGAGTTGTGCCACACGAATCTGTGGGATGGTGTGGGCTTAGGCGGATCACAGAAGTGTGAGGTTGCCACAGCTGATGCAGAAAAATGGGACTATGACTCTGTGGATGTTGCATCGCTGCTAGAGCAGGAGTTCCGCCCAGGCCGGCGAGTGGATGCTTGGTGTGATGAAACGAAGTCCTGGCGCATGGCCACGGTTCTGGAGCAGCAGACAAGAGTGACAGAAGAAAAGGACAAAGACAATCCGGAGAGAAATAAGCTGAACACGGAAGTATTTTGGAAAGTCCGATGCAGGGATACTGAGTGTAAGTTCGTTTCGAGACGAGTATGCCACACATCCCGGGCTTTCCAGGATATGATTGACAGATTTGGTCTGGACCTCGGGAAGCATATGTCTAGATTTGCATTATGTATGCTCGCGGTATTTGTCTGCTCCAGTTCGACGTCTTTTCTATCTCGTCTGGTTCCAATCTTGTTTTGCTCCTCTCAGCTTTGAGCTTGCAGTTTCACCAGCAAGCAGCTCATTTTGCAGAAGACACAAGAGAAGCCGAACGCCGACCATCTGAATACCCTCTGAATACCAAAGTGTGTTGGAAAGTACCATGCAAGGACACTACTGCTGAATTTGCTGCAATGCCACACGGCCGTGGCTGTGCTGGATATATTGAGCAGATGTGGTCTCGAGATCGGGAAGTGCATCATGCATGTATGCGTTGTTCCAACTGCGTTTGCCAACCTCACCAGGTTCCGGTTTTGCTTTGTGTCTCTGAACCTGGAGTCTAGCTAGAAAGCGGCATATTGCTCCGGTGATCTTGAAAATCAATCCTCTTTTTACTTGCCATGCTTGCATGTCACAGGCTTGGTTCAGGACGATTCATGGCCGTTAAGTTGAGTGAAGTGACAAGCTTTTTGCTTGGTGGCTATTGCTGGACACCGCTGGAACTGGAGGTGCCTGAATGCTTCCCGTAGGATGCCCCAAAACTTCACTAGGATTGCCCACTTGGCAACAGCCGGAAAGCCAAGGACAGACTATGCTGAAGCGGGTTAGCTTCGGGTTCCTATAAGCAGGGAAAGCAGGGAATCAAAATTCTGCTCTTGCGGGACTTGCGGGCACATTTGCGATGGTGGATGCTCCGCATGACTGCCCACTTGCTTATTTCAACTACATGAAGGGCATTGCCTGGCACTGCTTTGACAAAAAAGGTACCTGAGTCAGATTAGCCTTGAAGGGCTTCCATGTTCCCCCCAAGCATTCGCTGCGTGTGTGTTGTGTGGCAACAACCAGGCACATATTGCCAGTCCTGTTTGACGCCAAGTCGCAAGCGAATGCCAGAATGGCAGGTCAGTTTTCGGCAGCCGAGGTTCCCAGCAGCAGCTTTGCAATCTGCTTCGGCCGTACCTACCCGTGCATGTATTGGATGTGGGAGCCAGTCGACTTCCGACGGGAGTTTCAGCACTCCGTGTCCGGCTTGTCATCGAAGACATCAATGCCTTACATGCGCTGAGGGATCGCATCCTAAACAATGATGACGTGCAGGATGGCGTCAACAAAGCATTATCGGATCCCAAATGGCAGATGTACGTGGACAAGAGTCGCTTTCTTGAGCTGTATGAGCACCATTTGCTTTCCTTGGAGAAGCTGACTGATCATCAAGAAGAGGTACTGCGCGAGATTCTACAGAAAGACATCGTGCACTTGTCCGCCCCAGCGGGGACAGGCAAGACGTTCGTGGCTATTCAGAGGGTGCTGGAGGTGCTCCGAGTGGATCTGCGAGGCTATGTTCTCTACGTTGCGCCCACGAAAGAGCTCGCTCTTCACTTTCTCAGGTGGATGATTGTGCGGCTGACAGCTCAAGCAGCAGATGCACCAGATCCGGCACGCCTTTCGATCATGCGACATATCCACCGGATGAGGGTTTTGACTCAGCCGTACAATCAGCTGTTGGTCCCCGATGTTAAAGATGACTGTATTGTCTGGAAGGATGCGGACGAGGTGGATGAGTTTGAACTTGTAGTTGTCGACGAAAGCCACAACGTCTTCCACGTAGATGCAGATCAAGGCATCCTGGCAAAAATCATGGATTGCAGGCCGAAGCGACAGCTGTTACTTTCTGACGAGTCCCAATCTTCTGCCGTCACTGAAAGCTTTCCGAGTATTCCCAGGGTGAGGCTCACGCAAGTAGTCCGCAGCACGCAGCGCATTGTGGCGGCAGCAGCCGCCTTTCAACTGGGCTCACAATCTGTCACATCCATTGCTGCGGAAGGACCTCCGTTGAAGGTTTTCCTCTTTGAAGCCGCAGAACCGCAGGAGGACCTTGCCCAGCAGTATGCAAAGAGAGCCAAGGATGCCATATGGCATGTCGTGAAGACATTTCCCAGCCTCAGCCTCAACAATCGTTTAGCACTCCTCGTTCCAGACGCAGAGTTCCTCGAGCGTTTGCAACCCCTGCTGGAGCTGGGTCTGAAAGATTTGTTGCCACATCGGAATCTGCGCTTCACTCGGTTCTCAGATTCCCTCCGGCAGGTGCCGCTGTGTTTTGCTACAGAGTCAGAGGAGAAAACTGAGAGGAAGACTGAGGAGGAGCAGATCGTTTTAGATACAGCTGACGTCATTGATGGTTTAGAGCAACTCGTCGTGATCTGCATAGGCCTGGATGCAAGAATCGGGCAAACTTGTGGCGATCTCCAAGCGCGTGCCCAGCTCTACAAGGGAATTACGAGAGCTCAGCTCTTGGCCATAGTGGTGAACAGCCATATCAAAAATGGCTTTCTTGAGTTCCTGTGTAATGTCCGCTACTCTGGCGGTCAGTTGTCAGCAAAGGAGGCACACTGCGAATCTCCAAAAGCCGCTGCGGAGGCGTGCGAGACAGCAAAGCAGGGCCAAGTCCAACAGGCGTCGAAGCAGCGGAGGCCGCGCAGAGACGACAGGCGCCTTGGTAAGCCTGAGCTGCCCGAATCGTGGACGCAGCCCGCGAAGCAGGAGAACGTGGAGAAGTTGGACCTCAAGGTAATGTCGTCCCCACCTGCGCAGCTTGACTCCAGTGTGTGGGACACCAGCGGCATCGAGATCTCGCCTTCAGGCGGAAAACCCTTGTATGATCCGCTTGCTGAGGACGACTTGGCTGTTTGAGCAAGAGAGACTTTACCTAGCAGGTGGGATTGAAGCTGCTACTTGAAACATGAGCGCTGGCAAGTCATGAGAGCTTGCGTGAATCACTGTGTTGTGCCAGCAGACGTCTTCATATATTCGCACGTCAATTTGCTAGGTGGCGTGTAAGGCAAGAGTAAAGCAAATGCATGAAGCAAGCAGCCCTGCCGGCTCCTCACAGGACCAAAGAACAAGTGCGGACGTCGACATTCCGGACTCAAAGCAGCCCGAAGAGGCTCAGCCCGAAGAAGCTCAGCCCGAAGAGGCTCGGGCCGAAGCGTCCCGTGAGTACCGCTGCAACAGAGCAAACAGTCTGGATGTCATGGTGCTGAAATTTGCTCAGGGAGCTGCAGGCATGTTTTAATCAAAGCTTCACGGAAAACGCGATCATTCATGGCATGATTATGGCAGACAACCACGGCCAGATTTTCTGGCTATTATTTGGCATCCAAGTCTGCTGTAGCAAAGAGTTGCTGCATTCGTGCGCAGGCCCGCCGTCACTACAGCACAACCGATATCGAGGGGCTTCTGGCCTTCTGCCAGGATGCAGACATCCGCCTTGCTCGGGTGGATTATCTTCGTGAGCTGCACAAGGCAGGCAGAACCCTCCCACGCCGCCAAGAGGCGGAAGCAGATCGTACGGCTGATGCCCTCCCTGCATTGTTGACTCAGGAGGGGTTCGTCTCAGCATGGATGCGGATTTAATTAGCAGTGAAGCGTCCTGCAATCCCTGCAGCTGCAAGCAAGATATGTGAAGTTTGCAGTTCAGACCGGTTGGAAGCTTCTGAAGCAGTTCATCGTTCTGAAAGCCCAGAGCCCGTGGGTACTGACCAGCTATTAGTTTAGTCTTTGACACTTGCACAAATGCAGGAGGAGCTCCAGAAGAAAGTGAGAGCAAATAAAGAGTTGCTAAGCCAGCACAGCCCGGTCATTTCCTTCATCATCTTCGTGATTTCTCACCCGTGGGAGACGCGCGAGCATCCAGATCCTTTGGGGCACCAGCCTGCTGGCCAGCAAGATGTCGTGAAACATGTCATAGACCCCCAAAAGGCATTTTTACCACTAGTAGATATTCAAGGCTTGTACAACAAGTCATTGCGCTTCCATGTAATTCCAAGTGAGATGATGCCTGAGGCTCGGAGTGCTGGTCGAGGCTCTGGACCAGTGGGGGGACATCATGGCGAAGGTGGACCCTAGATGGGAACTGGCTGATGACTGGCAGGCCTTCGCGGGAATAAGCAGTCACAAGTTTGTGACATACAAGTGCCAACTATACCACTGCCGCCACTTAGAAGTTTTGAGATCCCAGGCGTTCAGTGGCTCAACAATCCGCCCGTTCTCAAAGCAGTATGAACCCCCTTCTCTTGGGGGCACATATCAGAATTGGCACCTTCGTGCATTCATCATCTACGGGCCACAATTACTTGTTGTTTCAGTGGGACGGATGCCATGGACGCTGAGATTCTACGACAAATTGACACAGTTTTTTTTTTTCCTTTTCCGTCTGTGGAAGCCCTTAGGTGTCCAACATGATTGTGCCGCCCCCAACCCCAGATCGAAGCAGTTGCATTTAAAGCTTCGGGCCAAATGCTCAAGCACACCTGCCTCAGTGCAGCAAAGCTACGGCCCTAGTCGAGACATACGCTCACCTCGAGTTTTTTTGGCCGCCAGAATTGACAAGAATGCACATGAAACAAGGACCGCAGGATCCTTGTGTTTCTGTGCAATATGTTCATGTCAGAGTGGATGACCTCGAACAGGAGCGGGTCCAATAGCAGCCTGGAAGCTGAGTTCTTCCGTTTTGGGTTAAGTTTTGGCCTGGGTAAGGAAGTTACAGGCATGGCAGCTCGAAACCTCCCAAGCGATGCTAGCATGTGTTTTTCCATGGCAGGCTGCGGTGTTCATCGGCTTCACTTCGCTGTATCAGTACCAACGTACCCCAGTGGAGGACGTGTTTCTTTGGAAGTCAGGTTTTGTTAGTCGATAAGACCACTTTTCCGACATGGCAGCTGACGATTCTGCGAAGGTTGCACCGTTCTGATTGCCTACTGGCTATTCGTTACATGAAAAAGCGGGAGGACTTTCCTCGTGTGAGCTGGTAATCTGGCCTGTCAGGACAAGTTCTTCGGGCTCGCCATGGAAAATATACATGTCCTCTTTGCGCACAAGGAGACCCACATACTTCGCATTGAGGAATTGACGCCCGAGCTCCATGATCCCAGGAGAGCGGGCGGACTGGGGGACCAACCAGTCGAGATTTTCGATCACCGCACTGCTTCAGTGCGGGAGGTGAGACTCGACGAATTGAAAATGAACAGCACTCCTTTCATGAATCGCGGGTGGCCAGTCGCGGAGTTGCATTGGTCCATTGCAAAGCCGGCGAAGCAACACCTGGCAATACCCTTCAATGATCGCTTCAAGCAGTATGCGCCAATGGAACCAGGTGAGTTTCAGGCAAACCTGCTAGAAGGTAAGCCACCTCTTGTATTCACGCATCGATCTGATTATGATCCGATTAGACACATCCAAGAAAAGGTGTTTTTTGAGATCGTTGTCAAGAGCAGGGAGCTGAGCCTCACGCGTTTGCCAGCAGCCGAAGTGGGAGTGCTTTCCCGTTCGCTGCCACACTTCAGCAGCCTGGAAGTGCTGGACTTGGACCAGTCCCAGCTGGCCGGGGAGGACGCGCAGGCTGCACATAATGGGGATTCGAGGGGAGCGGGGCACAAATCTGAGCTTAGCCCATGATATAACGTTGGCTGTTGATGTTTGCACGTGAGCTACAAGTATTGTCAATATTGGGTTCATTTACCTTACCACAGGATCAAGCGTGCACATAGGGATCGCTTTGGTAGTTTAGTATGGTCCCCATCATATGGTCCCTATTATATACCCTAATGGCCTCAATTAATAGGAACCCATTTCCATCAATGTATGGGAAATATGTACTGTAGCTCATGCAGGCAAATCTTACAGAACAAGTTGCAACGTATAAGACGTATAAGCTCGTGGATATAACCGCGCACGCTTCCCGAAATTCCACGGGTTTCTTCTACTCGATACCGTTGGGCGCGATTTGTGAAGCGCTTCCTGCAAGAGCAAAACTGCGGGCCTTTCCGTAGACTGCAGGCCTGCGCTCGCGCGCTCCCGTATTCGCAGCTGAAAGACGTCAAGCTGACACGGAGCATGTTGGGGGATGCCGAGGTAGAGGCAGGGAAGCAGTCTTGGGCAAGAGCACCCCTTTTCATGTTGTGCAGCATGTTGACTGGAAGATGCCACCAGCTGCTGGTGAAGCTGGTTGCAGAAATAGCGCCAAGTCCTATACCCTGCAGGCACTTGCAGACGGCTTGCGCGGGCATTCGGCTCTCCGGGAGCTTTGGCTGTCCTCCAACCGGTTCGGAGACCGCGGGTTGCAGGTGCAGCGTTTCAGAGCCATCTGTATATCGCCGCTGCAGGGATGCTGGACCCATGCTGGATATCGCATGCCCTTCATTTCTCACTTTATGCGCTGTACTTTTGCATTTTGTGTGCAAGGCCGTAGACTTTCTGGGGCCCCAGTACATGACTGCAGCTCGTGCTGACAATGAGGTGGTGGCTCCTACTGATGCTTCTGATGATGTCGATGATCATACCGATGATGGTGCTGAAGCCCACAGTTTGCTTACTGGTTCTCAGCAAGGAATGAGGGATGACAATCCCTATATGATACATTCTCGCCTTGCCTTCGAAGAACCAAGAAGTTCGGCTCCATCAGCAGGCGCTGGCTTCTGGGCTTCATAGCCACAAAAGCCTCCGCAGCCTGGACTTGTCCCAGAATACGTTTGGTGACATCGGGAGCGAGGCCTGCGGTTCATGAGCTGTGGCCTGCACAAAGATGCTGTGAGGAGAGAGTTGCAGTCTTGCAGTAAAGTCCAGCCGGCTAGGTGTAAACTGCAGGGACTGGTTCATTCAGCCAAGCATCCATCAAATGCCTGAATGCTTCTGCAGAGCGAGAAACTTGAATCGTGAAGTGATCGGGCTTCCTGAAGTAGCAAGCATCATATGACTGCCCATGGACTCCAGAAACTGCAGGCCTTGGGTGAAGTGCTGAGGGACATGTTCTTCCTCGAGGACCTCCGGCTGATCGGAAACAACGTGAGTGACCGTGGTGTGGAGGCAAGGCAGCAGCTTTCTTGTGTTTATGTGCGAACATTGGGCCACGATATCTGTAGAAGTGCAAGCTGTCTGTGGTAGCCTCTGCCTGTCCATCTGAAGAGTATGTCAGCCCTGATGTGGACACCTGATGAATGAATCCCTTCCTTTCAGGGGCCTTGATTTTAGGATCCCTATTATAATCCCGATTAAGTGGAGAGGGCTTGTTAGTCATTAGGTCAGCCCTACCATCCAGTCTGCAACTTTTGTTTAGTCGACTGCCTTCCAGGCACTTGCAGATGGCTTGCGTGGGCATTCGGCTCTCCGGGAGCTGTGGCTGTCCTCCAACCGGTTCGGAGACCACGGGTTGCAGGCGCTGTGTCAAGCCTTGTACTTACTGCATTGAGCTCTGCACTTTTGCAACTCGCTTGAAGAAGCTTCAGCGTTCTTTTATTGCTATCGTTTACCGTAGATCTTCATGATGATTATTTTGCTGATGGTTGTGGCTGTGGTGATCGTGACCAGCTTGACAGGTATCAAGATCAACAAATAACCCAGCAAACCTGACTTCAGTTGTGGCAGGTCTTGATCTCCAATGAATGCTGCTAAACGTGTAGAGGATCGGATTTAACAGCCTAGCGGCCCACACCCTGCATCAATATTCTGGAATGTCTGTTGGATGACGGTCCTTCCAAAGCCTATTGCATCTTGAAGATTCCGTTGAGATGGCATTGGCACTGAACCTCTTGCTGGCACATGCAGGCTCTTGCCAGTGCCCTCCGATTCCATGTGCAGCTGGAGGTGCGCACTGCGTTTCAAGGAGCGCTAGATCCTGCTTTTGCTTGGGCCAAATGAGACACATAAGTTTGAAACCATGCCCAGTGTGCCACAGTGGCCTTTCCAACCCAAACACCTGCTTCTCAACATGTCCTTCGGTCAATGAGCCATGATTCACACTGCCGCTTTGTGGACTGTTCTCATTTTTCGTGAGCCCAACCACAAACCAGCAGGTGCTCAACCTATCGGATAATGAAATCGGTGACCCCGGTGCAGAGGCCTGGCAGCATGTTGCACGAGTGAACATCCCCAGTAGACAAACAATAGTAGTAATAATGGTCATAGTAGTTTGTGGTAGTAATACCAGTAATTAGTAATAACTGTTCCAGATCCCAAGCGCCTTTGGCATCAGGCGCTTGTGGATACATTGCAGTACTTGTCCAACTTCGAGGACTTCCGTGATGGCTTGTGTAGGGTTTGGGGTTCAGGGTTTAGGGTCTAGGTTTCAGGGTTTGAGGATGTAGATGCTTGGTCCCTGAAGCTCGTAGTTGTCTAGGGTGACTACCCGAGACACCTGAGAAACCCGCCCATCAAGACTCTGGCTAATTCCAATTGTAATCAGCATTGACTCCTCCCGCTTGCCCCCCACCAGAGTAGTCTTAGATGTTGACGCCCATGCCTAAGCTGTTGAGACGGACTTGCGCGGGGAAGGCGGGTGGGTAGGGCTTGGTGTTGTCTGTGAGTCCATGGGAAGCGGAACGGGGAGGGAAGGTGAGCATGCAAAACTTGGTTTCAAAATTCATACTTTGAAGCTCAAAGGGCTTTGGTGGTCATGCGAGTGGAGCTTTGACAATTTTCCAATCCCTCGATTCTGTAGGAGTTGCTCCTCTCCGGAAACCGCATCACCGAGACCATGATCCAGGTGCGCAGGGTGGCTAAGTTTGCCGATATGCGCCAGTGGATGAGAACTTGTCAGCCCCCATCAGAAGTGTTTGGGGTTGTCTTCAGGCAGCAGAAGACTGGCGGGACAGATCAAAGCTCTGAGCTTTGGCCTTTCATGGCCACGGTTTGGGGTGTGGGGTTTAGGGTGTCATCACAAGTAACCATACTTTGGCATGCTAGGGGAAAATCCGAGCCAAAAATCCTGAGCACTAAACTTACTCAACCTTAACCCTAAAAGGCTTGGAATCATCTGGCTGCGCCTACGAGCCAAAAGACATGTGAAGGATCTGGGAAGCACATGGCAGCCGTACGTATCAAGCCCCAACATACTATAGTGGCTTTCATATCCGTTATTCCCTACACATAAACCCAATAAATTCCTTAACCCGTATAATATACATATACATATACATATACCGACCCATATATTATATATATAGATGCATTTATATAAAGCTTAAATCAATTTGATGTTGGGACAGGCCGTGGCCGCTGCAGTGAGCCACAAGGAGCTGAGGGACTTGCAGCTGGAACCACAGAGGTAGCAACGGAAGAGGCTTGAACCAAACTGTATCAATGTGCCAGATACAAAGCATCTGGAATGACATCCGTAAACTATATCCTCACCTGTGGGGAATAGGGCCTTTCCTTTTGCGTTCGGTCTTGATGCTCTGCAGGGTACTTTCTTTGGACATCGCAAGTTGCAGTCTGGTCGAAGGCGTGAGCTGTGTAGGTGGGTTTCACTTTGGCCGTCTTGATGATTGTGAGGGGGCGCCGCCATGCGCGCTGTTGAAAACAGCAACCTGCCAGTTTGCGAGTGTGATTTGTATTTGTCCCGGGTATGTTAATGTGCTGTTTTTCTGTCTTTAGGATGGGCACCTGGGCACCGTCCGGCAGCATTGGTTTGAATTTTAACTGCCTTTTCTTGGTTCGTTTTTGTCTGGGTGGACTCGTCTGGATGACTCAGCAATGATTGTTTGTAGAGTGGCAATACACAGAGTGTTGTGTTGCATGGCACCTTAATCTTGAGTACTCATTCGATTCCTTTCAGACATCAAGGCAATGATATGAGGAGGGGCAATAGCCTCAGTTGGGCGGAGTATCTTTTGTGTAGGGTCTTGCTCTGAGGAATCCCGCCCACCTACCTGGAATCCTAAGCCTTAACCACTCAACCCTACACCCTAGGCCCCAATCCTCAACCTTAAACCCTAATAGACCCTAAGCCCTCAAACCGTATGATAACCCTAAGCCCACAACCCCCCAACCCTGAACCCGGAGCATTGTCCATCAGGCAAGACTGCCAATGTTCCTGTTTGAATATCATCCCTCAATTGGAGACGCAAAAAGACTTCTAATCCTCGTATTGGGTTTAGGGGTTAGACTTTAGGGTTTAGGGTAAAGCATGTGCCCTGCGATCGCTAGTACCTTCATCTTCTGGACCCATGGGAAGCTATCAACTTTGGGCCTATGGCCTAGTTGAAAACTTGCGTGATGTCCAGGCCGAGGCTGTTTGAAGTTTCATTGCTTTTCAAGACCGGGTGTGATACCTGGTCATTTTCTGCATTGGACTCCACTTGGCAAGGCTTTGCTCTGTAGCATACAGGCTCCCAAGCGTTTCTGCAAAGGGGGGGCCCCATCACTGCAGTCACAGCAGCGGTTCTTCCGCGCGCATCACGTTCTAAGTTAGATTTCATCATCATGTCTGTTGATGGCGGAAGTCTTGCAGCGCCCTAAGTTCCCTGAGTCCTAGAAAGTACAGCAGTATAGGGATGCTTGGTGGTACAGATAAGAGTCAGCAGCCCAGAGTGCAAAACCCAGATTTGGTCATGCCAGATAGGTCGGATTAGGAATCATTCTCCGAACCATTGGTGGTTGTTGTTGGATTAGTCATTGGGTCCTTGCAATATGGACCATAAGGCATCCTAGTGCAAGATGCGGGGGCATTGACTTTAGGAATAGCATGTTTTAAGGACAAATTCTGCATGATGCCATATTTCGGTTCAGACCGTCCAGGCAGACCTTGTCACGCCCTCTCCAAGCTTTCATTACATTCGCCAATACAACACGCACATCGTGCTGTCAACGTGATTCAAGCAGGGTGTAAACCTAAAGTCTTCGAACCCGCACATCAGGCCGAACAAGTTGCTTGACACAACATGGTCTCGGACCAAGCAGCCCCCTCACTCAGCCTTCCCAACCAACATGCGTGCGAGCTGATCTCCCAAGCAAAGCCGACGTAAACAATAATAATGATTACCATCACAACCTCTTCACAACCCTCGTAAAGCTCTAGTCGGACACAGCCCGGAGCCCTGCCATTCTTCGGAATACTTCACATGAATCCTAGGGGTGATCTGGCCTTAGCAACTGTAGGAAGGCGTAACTATCCACTCCGAGTTCTGCGTGCCAAATCCAGGCCGGGATTTTTCCGTCATATCGTCCCGCAGCCAACATGGAGCCCAAAAGAGAAGCGCTATATAGACCGTTGCAAAACGGTTAGATGGGTTTCCATGGAAGTTTGGGCAAGGCAAGGCATTTCTCGCATACTTTTGGTGGACAAACCCAAGTATAACATACAACCAACAATTTTCAAAATTTAGGTAGTATAAGGTTATGCAAGTTTTGGTGCATCAACGGCATTGGCATTTCTCAGCATTGGTCCTTGCTGTCAGGAAGTACTTCCAAAATCGAACCCATTAATGGAAAAAGCACAATGTCGGAAGGGATTATTAAGGATGTTGACCATCAGGGGGCAGTTGAAGCTTCCCCACCTTTCGTCTCCCAATCTTTCGTCTCCCATCGTTTTATGTGCGGAGCCGTCAGGAAAACTATGCAAAGTGACCCCACAGGTTTGAAATCTCAGTCTTGGAGACCGAACTCACCAAAACGCGTCCCGCAACTATAATGCCAAAAGCCCTCCACTGCCCACAGCCTTCAACCTTGAATCCGGAACCCCAAACCCTAAACCCCTAAACCCTAAACAGTCCCGAAACCGCAAACCTGGAACTCAAAACCCTGAACCCTAAGCCCTAAACACTAAGCCCTAACTCCTAAACTCTAGAGATTCAGACCTTGAGTTGTCAAACCCTGAACTTCAGACTGGGAGGCCGCCAGAGTTCTTCAAAAGGGATGGGAAAGGCAGCTGGGTTGGCCTGTAGGGTTTCGGGCTTAGGGTTTAGGGGTTTCGTGTTTAGGGTTTAGGGTTGAGGGTTCAAAGTTTAGGGATTTTTGATGCGGGATTATAAAGCCCATTCCCTCAAAGGTACCACCTCCCAGGATGTAAGGGGCCAATAAGGATGACATATAACCAAACAAGGCCCACTAGGTCAAACCGGGGGCGGGGGGGTTCTTTGATGGGAATCGTATGGTGTTGCAGTGTAAGTTGTGAAAAATTACCAACTTGACGGAGGGCCTGCCTTGGCCCACAATAGCATGGACCCCAACAACGGTTTAAGGTTTAGGGTTCAGGGTTTAGGGTTTAGGGTTAGGGTTTAGGGTTATTGGGTTATTGGGTTTCATGTTTATGGGCCATATGTGGACCTTGATGGTCACTTAGTATCTAAGGTCCTCAGACATCGGAGGTCCGCATAAATTCACTTTGCGTATCCCCAGGCTTGCTTTGTTTGCAGTTTAGGGTTTAATTATGGTTTAGGGTTTCGGGTTTAGGATTTAGGGTTCAGGTTTTAGGGTTTAGGGTTCAGGGTTTAGAGGTTTAGGGTTCAGGGTTTAGAGGTTCAGGTTGAGGGGTGAGGGGGACTTTGGGCAATATCAAAACGGTCCCTGTAAAGAAGTGCGCCGTCGTGTGCAAGGTAACCACTTCCCCCCAAAGTTTCCCACTCCCTTGGGTATCATTCTACATGCTGGGAAAACTGAGTATTAAGGCGCGGGGGTTGGGCATTTTAAGCCTTAAGCCCCAAACTCTATGGGTGAGGGGAGGGAGTATCGGGTCTTTGTGACCAGCTTCGGCAAGTCCGACGTGTGCTAGACATGTAGCCGTGCCTGGCCTCCGTAGCCAACATCTCAAGTCCTTTTGATTGCAGTTTTGCGTTTTCGGGGTCATATTGTGGTATGGAGGAATGGAAAGGCAAATGGAGATTACAATTTACTTTAGGGCTCAGGGTTTAGGGCGGACATCAAGCACCCCTTCCAACTGCAAACATTACATAGTCCCTTTAAGAGTAGTATGGGTAGGCGTGGTCAATATTAAGTCTATGAAGGCAGTAGGCAAAAGAGAGCAGAAGGCATATGAAGCTTTCGTAATGAGTTACCTGTATGATGCCCTGGATTTCACCTGTATCTTCCAAAGTCTCGACGGTACGCCGACTTTCCAGAAATCCCCCGATATTCCTGAGCAAATTTGGAGTTGTATGTATGGCTCCTTTGACAGCGCTGTGTCCATGTCCGCCTCAGACAGCTGTCACAAGCCACAGAAAGTTCTGTCCCAGAACCAAGATGAGACCACATAAGGCCCTCTTTGAGTTGTAAAATCTAAGCTTTGAACCCTGAACCCTCAACCCCAAGCCTTAGATTCCACATCCTAAACCCTGAAGCCCTAAACTCTAAGCCCTACGTCATCTCGTTTAAATCCGTGTTACTTTCGGGGAGTTTCCCTCCTGAGCCCCTATATAACCCAGAACCCTTAACCCTCAACTGTCATCCGTAAACCCTAAACAATAAGCTCTAGACCCTAAATCCTTTACCCTAAACCCTATACATCCCTATATATCCCTACAGCATCCTGTTTGAGGGCTCTAGTTAGCGTAGGATTAGGTTTACAAGCATGTGGAAGCGGCTACCCTTATGGCTGCTGGCAGCTCGCCCACACGCCTTGGTATGGGAGGATTCCTTGGACTCCAAAAAGGGGTTTAGGGCTGTGGTGGGTTTAGGGTTTAGGGTTTAGGGTTCAGGGCATTGGGTTCAACACAAAGGGACATTGTGGGGGATGTTCTAGGAGTTTGAGGTGCAGGGTTTGGGGGTGTA